TGGAAAAAATCTACGCATGGTTTAGGCGCCTGAAATATTTACAGACGGACGGTATGAAAATTACCATTTTTTCGGTATCAGTGGACCCCAAAAGTGTATTTCCGTTGAAATCTTAAAATCGATTTTTCATGGCATTAAAAAAATGTTCCTATACTGCCCGATGATACCCCCTAATCTGAGGATTCAGTCCAAACGCCTTCCGCTTGCATGTGTCATTTCCTGCAAAACGTTGTCTAGAAGTAAACTCTCATCTAAAACGTTTCAGTAGAAAATGGAATCTATCCCAATAAGATCAACATGTTCAGTTTCTTAGAATTCAAGTACATTTGCTCGAAATCGGCAAAATTCCTAAGCGCGTCAGAACGGAACCTGTGTAATCGTGCATTTATACACCTGAGCCCCTCTGACGCGAAATCACTCACATAAATAAGAATTAAATATTGTTGATAGGTTTTATATTATTATGCCATTTGTGAGTGAAGTTAAAACTATTCGACGCTATTAGGCAATGGCAATGTAGAGCTTTCCTATTCGACGCTAGGGAAGTATTTTTAGTAGTGTTCAGTAGGGTTTAGAAGAGTCCTAGGTATTAGTGGGGAATCAAGTTTTTGGGCTTCAATACTAAATTTATGTGAAATTCAATAGGCTATTAGTAAACTTATTACTGAATAGATTCCTGACTAAAAATTGATAATTTTAATGTATTCTATTCTTTACGTATTTATTTCCAAACCGCGATTTTGTTTCAGTAATGGCCACTTGAAAATTGTAAAATTTTGGTAGTAGTCAGATACTGGACTCCATAATGACCAATCAATATTGCCCCTCGAACGTGTTCATGACCAAAAAAGTATCCAACAAATATCAGTTTTTGCTACGTTATTCCAATGTCAATAGTAATAAGTAATTTTGTCTTATGTTGTGAACTTATAATAAGAAAAATAAATTAAAGTATTTAATAAATATAATCGTCACTAGAAGATAGATCCACGACATTCTGCAAGTTTGAAAGAAGTGAAAATCTTCCAAATATTTATTTTCAAATTTTTGCGTGAAGTTGCCACTTCTGACGCAGGAGCCACTAATGGTATCATTTCTCTAGAAAAGCCAAACTGTCATAGAACGAACCTTTATACCAAAGGACAATGTCCGAATTGTATATGTTGTAATACAGAGTGGAACACCCAAGCCAATTGCTTGATTTGGAGATCAAGCATGCGTTGCGAATTCGGCAGCCAGGGGAATGTTGTCACGTGCGGGTCGGAAAACGGGAGGCGAAAAACAGAAATCGTTCCTCCGTAACCGATACACCTTGCGGTATCTGTGAAAGACAGAGGAGAGTATGAAATATGGCCGCTGCATTTCGCCTGGCACTTTAATAGCCAGCCTTTCTCTGCGGTGGCACCCGAAGCGGCACCAGGCAGTCTTTGTAGGCCACGACGCACAGTGGTCCCAGATGACAACAGCCGTTTGCAATTGTCGAAATGATTTCCCAGTAAGAGTTCGATAAACGAGTAATTACACAAATAGAACGAATTAGAGTGACTAACTGGAACAGAGTATCTAACTGATATATATAAAAAAATGCATTTTTATAATCTCCTCATAGGTATTTATGTGGTGTAAAAACCCATTCAATTGCTTTTACAATTGTGTCAATGTGTCTTTCCGGACGAAGCTCGTATTTTGTTGATGTCTTCTCTGAAAAGGAGTTTTTTGCCGGGTGCTATTTAGGTTACTTATTCAGGTAATTATTATTTTTTTCTATTAAAAAAATAACGCCTTTTCGATATTTTCATACAAACCTACGGTTTTATTTTGATCTGAATTAAATTTTGAACTACTGAATAATGTTCTACTAAATACATATTAATTTATCCCAAGAGCACAATTAATCCTGGAATAGTTAAAGGTCAAAATTGTGATTGGAACTTCGCCGGGCGTATGCAATAATGCTTCGATTTACAGCTGCATGTAGCAACGATAGTGGTAGCAACAACTCTTAGCTAACATTGCGGGGGAAAGGTAGAGTGCAGCGCGGAGGTGCAGGTGAAGCAGGCAGGCAAGGTAATAAGTGATAGGGTGGACGGGGAGGAGGGAGGGCGGATGGGACGGGCAGAGTGATGTCGGGTAGGACAGGGATGGGACGGGCGAGGTAAGACAGAGCCAGACAGAGTAGAATAATGGTTGAAACACGCTTTGCTGTTTCCTTTACTCACATAAATAAAGGAGTGTTATGAAGAAATCGTTAAAATACATTTTCTCTCAAATAACGTTTAAAAGCATTCGTAAATTAATAAAACATTGGGAGCGCCGTGGTAGATAAACGACGTTTGGATCAGTGTATTTTTTGTTCCGCAAGTGAACGATACTCTTGTTTTCAGAGCGAACCTTCCGCTCCTTTCGGACAAACGTGTGCTGCTTAACCCCGCCCCTCTCCGCCCGTCCCCGCCCTGATCCGTAAAGGGAGGACAGTGAATGGCAGTGGGAGAGGCGACGCGAATAGAACACAGAACACGGCGGTAGTTTAAGATCGAGAGTTGCTGCTTTGGTTTGCAAACGCTGCCATTACTAACTTCGTATTCAGCGGTTTTTTGTTTTTGTTGTTGTTGTTGTTGTTGTTTTTTCGATGTATGCCTAAAGATACATTGCTGGTCGTGAAACAGAATTACATCATCGTGAAATATCACAGTCACTTAATGTCAGCTGATATGTAAACGAAGTTTCAAGAAATACGTTCACGTTTTGGAGAGTTTGAGTAATCGAGAAGAATGTTTGAACGGCTGTTGGAACGGCTGTTCGTTCTAATCCCACCCAAGGTGCATATGGTTCTTGTCATAAGCATGTGCAGTCAAAAACAACAGGAGGGTGGCTTCTTCATTTCTGAGCCTCCTTCTCCCATGATGTTTTAATATTTACGTATGACATTTTACTAAATAAACAAAATACTTCTAACTAAAATGTGTATTAAATTACAACTTTAATGATTACTATTAATGAAACCAAATGGTTTTATGTCGAACTTTCTACATGCTGCTAGGCCTGGAGAGCCTCGTTACACAAATTTCCTAATTTACTGGTTTTGACAAAATAATGTAAATTGTGAACGCATGTGATTAATAATTCTGTTAGTTATGATTTGTAAAAATTTCCCGTTATTTGTGCTTAAAAGAAATAATTTTCGCAAGTGACCTCAAGTGCTTCAAAGGAGCCTTAAAGTAAATACAATTATAAAATATCCCTAATTGTCATGTCATTACGGGAAATCATAGTGTCAAAATGTTTAAGGGGCACGACCTCCTGGTGACCCCTTGGCGCATGCCTACGATTGTTGTTCTTTTATGAAGTGAAAGTTCCCGCAGATGCCCTGCTGGTGACAAAGCGTAGTAATTCGCAAAAGTGTCGATAAACAAAAGATCGTTCAAGAAGAAATCTAAATCAGTGAATGTATCTGTTTATTTTAATATTGCAGTTATTTATTTCACGGTTAATTTCAAAAATGTCAACATACTTGCTTTAATTGCTACATTAAACTCGCAATTCTATTGTAAACCCTTCGACGTTTTTGATTGTATACTTATTTCCTGAATGTAAACACGGATTTCAATGCGATACTAATGTAATTATTTTAAGTTCTAACAGCGGTGTGAATAGCACGCATTTAAAGATACAGTAATTAATCAAGTACAAGATAACATTTTTTTTAAAGAAAAAACCTGTCTGAACACTTCAGAGGACATTGACTCTTGACCTAATTTATGTAATGAAAGTTGTTCCAAACCAAAGCTGTTCGCAAGAGGAGCTGGCAGGTTAGAGAGTGGTTTAAATTAGCACCGCGGGTTATGTAAACATTCCTACTGGCTAATTACTTGAAGCGACTTGATCTTAACAGTGATTCTTCGATGCTGCGATGATAACGCTAGCCTCATTCATTCATACTGAACACGTTTTAGAATCATGGTCAGATATGTAATATGTGTTAATACGAGTATGTTTGTAGCATAATGGAGATCATTCATAAAAAATTGGGTGGGATGTGTAACTGGACCGAGGGAAGAATGCTTCTTAAGGCTCTTTGAGTGTATGTTTGAATGCGCATAGTTTAGAGGTAGATATATTTATTTATTGCTTTATACGCTGTTGAAATCTTGCGCAATTAAAATGTTGTTAGGGAATGATATCTTTTAGTCTGGTTGAGATTCGTTCTATCAGCCACACGTAGCTCACGACTCTCCAAGAGTGTTTCTTCCAACCTCGTCTTTTGCTAATGTTGTGAAATCACAATAACTTGTTTCCAACCTCCTGCCGTTGTGTAAACTTGTACTGCCTTTTCAGGTTCGCTATAATATTCGAACGTTTACTCCTGATTTTTCTTCGTATGCTGTTTTTGTTTCGTTAAAATTCGGAGATTGTGTGTTTGTTTTCGATTTTTATTTCTTGATTTCATTTACAGAAGTTTCTCAAGTTTTTTTTAATTTTTACGCAAAAAATAAACTACAATATAATTCATATTAATATTTTTTGCAAAAAAATAGTTGGAGAACTTTTGAGGTTCCTGCAATCACGCTTCGTTCTGGATTTAACATAATTATCCCCCGCTCACGTAAATTTTTCACAGTATCACGGACGCGTGAGTAACGTTGTGCATCAATTGGCCTTGAACCCTGTTTGAGTGCAGAAGATCGTTTGGGGCTTTGTCCTTTAACATGAATCATGAAGTATTTCGTTTATATTGAAGAATGTCATATGCGCATATTCACTTACCAGAGTAAACACCTACGTTTCCCTAGACTCAATCACTTAGAATCAATCAACTGGAACAAACCCTTTGTGTGTTCTACGCCGAAAAATGTTAGAATCGTGGCCCTGTGATTTGAACACGTACTCCACTGACTTAGGCGTTTTCTTTCATTTCAGTTGGCTAACTGAACGATTCACGCTTCAGTCCAACTCTTCTGAAAACTAAAAAAATGTTTTGGGCGATGAGAGCACATTCTTACCTTCATCGCCTCTGGAGTGTAGGAATAATCAACTGGCTCGCAAACGAAGCTGTATTTGCCCATCCAACCAGCATCCAGGAGCTACAACAAAGAAGAAATATAAGGTAAAGATACAGAACAGTCATATTTGTGTAGCTCGATTCGATTTTTATCAACCAGGGTTGCTAGTCCTGGAGGTATGGAAGATGACATGATGATGATAATGGGAGGTGAAAGGACGACACACACGTTCAAGACATACACACACGCCAGAAGCGTGACTGCATCTCGCAATATTTTCTTCTAGTCCGAGATCGCCATGGCACTACTGCCTTAGCGATCTCGACCATCTGATCGACACATGAATGTATTTTATATTATTATTATCATTATTATTATTATTATCATTATTATCATTATTATTATTATCATTATTATCATTATTATTATTATTATTATTATTATTATTTCCATTCAAAATTAAGAAAATAATAATTATAAAATATTAATTCAAGTGTCACTACCACTTCAAAACTTTCTAAATTTTATTTTGAAGTTTAATACTTTTTTTTCTCTGGCAACTAATTTTTACAAAAAATTGTGATTACGTTGTCACGAATCATCCGCCCATGTTAAAAGATATATCTGCATTGCGTTACATGCATGGAGACTAATAGTGTTTCAGAATGGCGCTAATTTTCTCGTAATCTTTTGTTTGGGCTAGCTTTTCGGTTTTGCCCCACTCTTCCTCTACCCGCTATCTATTGGCTCTTAAAAGTGATTTTTTCACAACTTTTTTAAATTTTCTAATCCCAAATTGTTGAATGGAAATTTGACATTAAGAGAAAGAGAAAAGAGTGAAACCTATTTTTATATGCAAAAATAAAAATAAAAATAAAAATTTGGAGCAGTGTTTGTGAAAAGAATGGGTAATCGTGAAATCGAACCTATGTCATCTTTATAAGTGTATTTTAATACATTCTCGCAAGAAATTTAAAGCAACAAATTTGGAGAGATTTTTTAGAAAAAGTTCTAAAAGTTTCATGAACTCCATTTAAAGTACTTCAAAATTTTAAAGAATTAGCTTCAATCTTAGAGACTGGAACTAGCCCAGAAATATATTAATTTTAGCATCAATATTATGAATAGTTTAGGCGCTATAGCTGTTCAAAAACTACGGACGAACACAATACTGACAGATAAACAGACTAATAAGCTGGCAGGCGGTCCGACGGCGATTGGAAGTTTCGAAAAAAACACGTTTACAAGTGATAACCGAGGTATGTCAATATGGACAGAAATTGATGTATTATAATATTACGTAACCTAACGTAATGTTACTAAGTGCGAGAATGTAGGGGCTCTTGCTCCACTAGTTTAACATTGTGTCCTTAATACACGTAGTTTAGTATTTTAGATAAAAGTTGATAACTCTTATTACTCGTGTAATGTTGAATGTCGTGAATGAGAAGTTAGAGAAATAAATGAGAAGTTAGGTATGATGCGTAATGTCTTTTTGATTTTAGGCAGGGGTTTTTAATTAATGAAAAACACAATAAAACAGGTGCTGCAGGTAGGCTTTTTCTTGTCAAGAATAGTGAAAAAAATAAGGCTGTCGTGATATTTTCATTTTGGAAACAATGAATTTATTTTACTAAGACTTCATTTAAGCTACTGCATCCATTAAAACAGTATTAACTTTCTCCATTATTTGCACAATACAAATCATCTGCAAGGTGTATTGCAAATTTGGATTAAGTACCTCATGCAAAAAGAACTGTATTTCAGCACGTCTCATTATATTCTAATTCCCCTACTAACATTTACCATTCTTTGACTCGTCTAAATACATTATAAAAACAGTTCACTGAACGTGATGACTACTAATTTGTTCACATATATTAAAATATATTTTACATTTGTTGGTACGTATAATCAAGAATACATTTTGCGTGTACAGACTGTACAAAGAGGTTGACTTTTCTAGCAGTGATGAATGAAAGTATTGAAAGGAGAGAAATCAGTTATCCTTAGACATACGAAATGTAGAACGAGGACGAACTGGAATAAAGTTACGAAAACAAAGATGTGATGCAAAAAATCGCCGTATGATTATGCCATCCCTTGAAGGGAGGTGGTTTTATTCGTTGTTGGAATTCAAGACTGTAGAAATTTATTTTACAAAAAGTATAGTTATTTAAAGAGACAACTTTTAGAAAATATTTCGAAGCCTAGAGAAAAGAACAGATTATAATCTAACAGCAAGGTACTGTAAAATAAAATGAAAGAAAATTATGGTATTTTATTAAAAGTTGAACCAATTGCATTAAAAATCATAATCTTGTACATCGTTAACATAAACTTGATCTCTTTTCTCTTTCACAAGGCTTGGGTACGAAGAAAATCCGGGCAACACCGGATAATCCGGTAATGCGTCACTTACAGACTCCGTCCAGTGCTCCAAATCAAGACAAAAGAGGTGATATTGGACGCGCCTCGGTGTCCTCTTGAGGAACAGATCATTATGTGCGGATCCATTCAATACTTTCTCTACAAAACGTGCTTTTTGTTTATTCATTCACTTAAACGCGTTTTTGGTGACTTACTGAACATTCAAATGCTCAATGCAAAATGCTTAATACTGAATTGCTCACTCGTTTCCTCTCGATAGGAAATCGATTGGCACAATTTTTATTCGGTTCTCTTTAGGATATTCTAGAAAATTTAGAAAAATACGTGTTTTTTATGGTTTTAATGAACCTACAAATACATTCGGGAATCGTTCCGACATTTTTTATGGTTTATTTAAAACTTGATTCAACAGATTGATGACAGTTAAATTTAATTTTGTAGTGAAACCAAAATTTAAACAAGTATTTTAATTGGTATTATTTCATGTACCTTACTATTCCCGAAAATGGACGAATTGGATTAATGTATGTAATGTATGTAATTATGTATGTATGTAATGTATGTATGTAATTAATGGACGAATTGGATATGTTTAAAATTTATTTTTACAGTGCATTGAAAAACACAAATTAAACATTTAAACATGAGAAACCCATCCAAAGCTCTAGGCTAGTAATTAGTATGTATCAATTGTGCTCCCATGAAATGCAAAATGAGCTTAAGCATTTATATGATATATCTTGCATTAGAAAGCAGATAAACTTCGGACACCCTAGTGGCACATAAATAAGATAATAGCGACATAGCATTCAGAACGTACATTGTATTACATTCCACCGTAACACCTCCAATATAATAATATCACTTACATAATTATTTCCTTTAATGATAAGAGTTAAACGGCCTGCACATAAATACTATAATATACTTTTCTATGATATTCACACTTTACACAAAATAACTTCAAATACCTATTTTCAAAAGCGTGTGGCTGGCTTCATGCATGGCTAGAATAAAACATTACCTCATAACCTTACGGAAGTTTAGTCAAGGGTAATGTTTGGCCAATAATAATTACAATCCAAAGAGTAGCTTTTCTTATGATGATTTAAATTGTATAGGTCAACAGAATAAAAATAAATATGTATAAATAAGCTTGATATTGCACTTCATTTTCAATTTTTGACATGTTATTTATGCCATTAAACTTTATAATTGATATATTTCTAAATACTCAAAAAATTACAACTTGATTATTCAAATTTGAAAGCAAATATTATTCATATTGTCGAGATATGCTTATATTGATTTCACAAACAGCTAACGACTCAAATACGGCAAGCGTGCAATTCAGATTACCAGATCCTTGAAGGCCAAGCGTCGAGTACCGCCCACGCGTTTAAACATTCCACGGCGCAATGAAGACGCGTGTGTGAGTGAGCGAGCGCCGAAGCGGTAGCGCCCGGCGGTTGGCGGCCTTGGCGGGGCCACGGCCAGGGCCGGAAGCCTCAACAGGCGCATGTCGCCGTCAAGCGGACCGCCATC